CAGATACATACCGAACAACTTGATCAGCCTTTTGGTTCCTTTAACTTTTGTATTTTTTGTGTGGTTTGAAAGTTAGGTACTTTAACTTTGAATGTATAGAAATATGTTTTGATTTTAACAGTGCCAAACATTGTATTCATGTGACCAGTGAAGTGTCTCAAAAGATCTGAAATTTTAAAAGAGAAATATTCATCCATCCATCTTCTTTTTTGTCCATTTCTGGGAGAAACATTCAATAAAACACAATCCAACTAAAAAGTATTTGACAAGGCAAGTTTATTTGTATAGCACAGGTCATACACAAAGCAACTCAAAGTGTTAAACCAAACCAGATAAAAGCAGTGAATATACAATCCCTCTGTATGCACTGCTAAAAAGTTTTTTAACTGGATTTGAAAATTATCAGAGTAGAAACCTCTTTCATATTTTCTGGAAGATTTTAGCTGCGGAAATCTGAAATGCTGCGTCCCCATGTTTAGTCCTGACTCTGGGGACCAGCAGGAGGCCAGTCCCTGTGCTCCTCAGAGTCCGAGTCAGTTCCTATGGCACTAACATTTCACAGATGTACTTTGGTGCGAGGCCTGGAAAGACTTGGACTGGAGACAAACTGGGCTCGTGTAATTGTACTTCCTTAAAAACTAGCTCTACTCTATGGGGTTAAGTTGGATGGAACCCCATACTGGTTGACTTTGTGTGTTTTTTCACTGGATAGTTGTATTCTCAACCCTAACTGGATAAGGAAACATCCAGGCAGTAGTAAGACGCGACCCAAAATGGCCCCTGTAACATGATTTTACTGCGACCCTCATATTCATCAGCCTGTTAGCATTACGTTTTTATTTCCTTTTCTTTAGTATTCTGACAGAGTTTTCCAGATGCACCCAGAGAGCTGGAGTGGAGGTGTGTGACGGACACGGGGGTGAGCGAGGCAGCAGATGAGAAACACATGTGGGATTCCAGCACAAGCTTCCTCACTCACTCCTTGTCACGTGAGAAAACTGAACCAACTATTATTTGCACCAAAAAGTCAAGTCAGAGATGTAAACAGTCGAACAATCATCATAATTAAAGCCTCCATTAGATCCATACATTTCTCTGCATAAATGAAAGGTACCTGTACATCTGTAGATCAGAATGAGAGTGAGGCTCTAGCCCTGAGCTGCTGGGAGCCACAGAGATCTGCAGCATGGATCAGTGCCTCCATAAGAGCCCTGTGTGTATACGTACAGCAGCAGGAGCACAGAGCGTGACGGCCCGAGTCTGCGCCCAAATGAAAAGGAGAATACATTAATTCATCGTTACCCAACGGTGGTATTTTCTTATGCAATGACCGAGTTCACCATACAGTACACTTTTAACCCTCTCCAGGCATCGCAGATTTCCACATCCATATTTTTGACCCTTTTTTAAAGTTCCAGCTGCTCACCGGGGGAGAGCTGTCTCACTTCTGAAATGTCAGTCTCCTCGGTTTCACCCAAACACATTTTGTATCAACGTCAAGTCAGTATCACCACCAACCTCTAATTATTTTAAACCAAAGCTGCAAAAACTGAAAGGTGAACAAATACTGTGTATGAATACAGTACATGTCAATAAGTAGATTTCATCTCCTTTTGTCCCCAATGTTGCAAATCTGCAACATCCCAGAATGCATTGCAGGTCTCTCTAAAAAAAAAGTCAGAATTGTATACTTCTACCCCGTATGATTCCACTAGTATCAGATTTTTCCTGTCATTCAAACTTAATTTGAGCATGAGAGGGTACAGCTGAGTCCTATTCTTGTCAGAAAGCAGAATACTGTGGCCGCCAAAACTGTGGGTTTGATTAATTCACAGAAGTTACTGTCAAGCATGCTTCAAAAATCATTAGACTGAAGAAACTGGTATTACCTTGAAGTCTAGGGCTGAAAGTTTCTTCTCTCATGTTTGCATTCTAATCCTGTTCGATGTTTTATCCACATGAGATGTGACCAAGAGCCGAGTGTTCTTCCAGAACAACATTATTGACCAGAGACTGTGAACTCCTGCTTTCAATTTGTGTTTCCTTTTCGATGCAGGAGGGTCCAAGGACAATGTGAGCAGGATCTAGGACACTCCACATTGGTCATCCATCCGGATGTAGGTTCAAGCCCACCACGAGACCTTCTCCACCACCTCTCACTGATGTCTACTGTTGTTGTGTCCTTGGGCAAGACACTTAACCCCACTTAACCCCCCACTGAAAGATCATGACTGTGTCGTCACAGAGCTGCCATCCTCCTGAGGGCTCACCACCTGCAGCAGGATCAGTGAGAGGCTGGTGCTCTGTGGATTGGAAACTGATTGCCATTGATTTCCTATCCCAGAAACGGACAAAGAGAAAGAAAATGGAAAGATCATCTGCCCTTTATGGACCAATGGCTCTATGTGTTTTTTATTATTGCATTTATTTTTTGACCGTGATTCTCTGATCTGTGTTGGTGAATCAACGGTAAAGTCCTCCAAGATAACTACAGTTATGATTTAGGGGGATGCAAAAATATATTGAACTGCACTTTCTGAGAATACTCAGAACACTGTTTGGTTGTTGGAAGAGCGGCTACAGCCCCGTCTCCTCTCGCCCAATGATGCAGTCTCTGCCCATAAACATGGCTGCTCCGTGGAGTCGCTGTGGTCGGCCATGTTTCACTTCATGATGAGTTCATTATTTTATCAGGACAAACGCCCTGTTGTGCTGCAAGTTCATTTGGTTTGTATGAAATATATGGTAATTGATGCAAAGAAGCTATAGCTGCTGCTTGGTGCTCTTAGACATGTTGTTGGCCTTTATCACAGAGACTGGTTTGAAACGCCTCAGGTATCAATACAATTAGAGAAATCAACTTCTATTTAAATGAGCTGCAGCAGTGAACTGCATACAAATGAAAACAGCCAAAGGGGAAAAAGTCTCTGATTGGAGCTAGTTACAGTAAAGTGTTTATTATTCACTTTAAATGTTTTATTGCACACAGGAATGCACCACTACAGCACAGCGCCGGGTATCGGCTAAATACCAGGTGCTCGTATTTGTATCTGATCCTATTACCTGGGCCATTGGCAATCACAGCTCAAGCTAATTAGCATGCTAATGTTGCTCCGTTAGCATGCTAATTGGCACTTACCAAAGGAAACCTGGTAAATAGAACCATATTTTAATTCAAATCCTTTTGCAAAAACTAAGTCCTCCTAACCTTAAACCAAATGTTGCAGACTCTGTTCTTCCAGAAAGTTTTTTTCCGCAAACAATAAACGCACATTATTGGATTATTTTTCCAGAATGGATTATACTTCACATCACAAGTGGATATTCTTTTTTCCATGGAAATTTACGGAGTGAACGAGCTGTAGGAAACTGGGAGGAGATCTAATTTATTTATGCAGCACAAGACCAAAGGTAAAAACGTATTCAGAAGTGATTTATTTTGTGCCCATATTGTGTTATATCTTTTGAATGTGAGGTCAGATTTAGTGTACACTTGTGTATACATATAAATTATACAATAAGCTTTAAAATGACATACAGTTTGATCTGCTATTTCCAGCAGAATATTTTTAAAAATAAGAAAGGCCCGCGGGCGGGCCGGTGGGTGCTAAAAAGTTCATAAAAAGAAAGAAAAAATAAACTTGGTATTGATTCTCAGTATCACCGAGTACTGAAATTAAAGTACATAAGTATCTCTGATTGAATAGAGTATTTGAGGGTCATCATATGGTCAACTGTCGTCGTTTTAAAAGCGCTACACAAATAAATATTACAGTTAACTTTTATTCAGATTCAAAGAACAGTGAGTATGGTGTTGAAAATATTGTTTTTTATTTACAAACACAAAGAGCACATTCAACAGTCATTGTGGACAAGAACAAAAGCTCTGTACAGACACAGTACAGAAATACAGGTTTTTAATTCTCTCTCACTATAAAAATATAGATCTTTTAAACTGTGAGCAATATACACATTAACCTAATCAAGCATTTTACAAAACACAACATCAAAAAAAGAAACATTGTAATTGATTAAACACGCTTCACGATACATTCTAAGTACAGACGCTTATGTACAGGAGCCAGCTGGGGTCAACACAGGATGGGAGACGATGCTATATGGTTTACTCACGACACAGACATCGCTTGTGCTTACATTCAGCTGTGCTTTACATTCTGCCATTTGTGAAGGCGTAACCCTTTGAAAACAATGGCTTTGGATATATTTTTATATTTGTGACCGTATTAGTTAGATCAGTGTTAATATTTATCCTGATTGTCAAAGCCTTCACTGAAAAATGAGTTCATAATTATACGGTCTATACATTTGGGAAATGAACTGAGAACGTGTGACGCAAGCCGCTGCTCAAAAGCCTCCTGTTCAAAACTGCCTCCACAAAACTGTTTCTTTTGGCGATATATTTATCTTTTTTTGTTTCATATTAACCTGTCCTGAAGGGTCCTAAAAGCGTAATAAAAAGTGATGAAAATAAGTCCAAAAATTCTTAAATTCGGCAACATGTATCTTAATTCGAGCACATTTTGACTGAGCCTTAAACAAGATTTTCCAATGGGACAAAGCGAAAGGATCTTGTTTTGAGAAGATACAATACATTTCTCACTTGGAATGAGAAAATAAAGCAACAGTTCTTGAAAAAAAAACATTTTATCAAGACAGTCAGAATGTACTCAAATTACCACTCGATTTCAAGTGATTCTGACCTCATATTTGATCTTTTTCTGCAGTGTATTATTGTTATTATTTAAAATACTATTAGCCAATCTTGTCATCAAAGTCACTGCTGTATTGTTGGAGGATGTGCATTAAGTCCTTATCGGGGTTGTTTCTTTCCACCCCCCCGCTCAAAACCTCAGCAACTGGTCTATATGCTAAACAGTAAAGGTCTTTTGTGAGGGGTTTTATTCATGTGTATTTAATTATGTTCGCCTTGATGTGTCGTTTAGGAACCCCCCCCCCCCTGTTTCCTGTGCCTCTGAAGGTCACACTGTGGTCGTTCGTGATGTGTACGTGCCGTTCCGGAACACCATTTCAGAAGCCAGATACTCTTTGGGGAAGTCCAGCGGTCTGCAGGGCGTAGACTTCTTGACCGCGACGGCGCAGTAGTCCACCTGTTCCGCGTCCAGGCCGTTCTCCAGCCAACGGAAACACACGATGCGCTGGAACGACCTCCGGAAATTATCGGACACAAAACCGTACAGTATAGGGTTGGCGCCACTGTTAGCGTAGCTGAGTATGACAAAAAGCTGCGTTATCATCGGGTCTGGCGGCCGGTGGAACACGCTGATCAGTTGGACGATGTAGAAAGGCATCCAGCAGAGGACGAACACGGCTACAACCAGGAGAACCATCCTCGTGATCTTTTTTTCGGATCTTCGGCGTTGTAGCCAGCCCGCTTTAAGCCCAACCGCACGCATCCTCGCTACCATCAGGCAATAGCAAAGACAGATTGCGCCAACCGGTAGCAAGAAACCAAGCAGGAAGGTGTAGACCACAAAAGCCTCTGACCACGCCGCTTCGGGCCACATAAAGTTACAATCAACTCCGCCATCTTGCGCAGGTACAGTGTCGGCGAAAATTATAATTGGCAAAATCACGATCAGCGATAGCCCCCAGACGCAAACGTTAACAACTTTAGCTACAGTCGGCCTGCGGTAGCGCGCTGCTTTGATGGGATGGACAACGGCAATGTACCGGTCCACACTTAGCACCGTAAGACAAAATATGGAGGTAAACATGTTGATGCCGTCTACGCTCAAGACTAGCCGGCACATTAGCGAACCGAACGGCCAATGGCGAACAGCAGCGGATGTGGCAAGGAACGGCACACTCAGCATGAAGAGTTCGTCGGCTATGGCCAGGTTGAGGATGTAAATGTTTGTGGCGGTCTTCATTTTGGCGTATTTGAGGATGACGTAGATGACCATGGCGTTGCCGGTGAGTCCCACGCAGCATACTAAAGCGTAGATCGAGGGAATGATGATTTTGCTAGCGTCCGGTTCATGGTAGTAGTCTTCGTAATCCAGACTGGTGTTGTAGGGGAGTCCAGTCGGGTAAGCGCCGTAGTCAAAGCTATTGTTAAAATCCATTGTGTTTATGACAAGGTCTACATAAGAAAGTTAAGACTTCTTTGGCAGTGAATCAATTGCGATGTGAAAATTCATGTAGTCCTGTCTAGGTATTTCTCGCAGGTACGATCACAACACTGGGAGCCAAACTCTCAAGACAATCAAAGGGTGCAAAAAACTGTCTCACGGCAACGCCATTGTCTCGGGATTTCTATAGTCTTCATCGAATTAAGGCAAAGTGATTAAAATGTTGTTGGGACTTGAGAGAATTGTCATTGTCAGCGGGCAAATTCTTCCGGGAGCCCAAACTCACGACGCATCGCACTTTCTTCACACAGAGGGCGGAAAGCAATCTTGTGTCATTTTTTCCCCGAGTAAACGTGTTTTGCTCTGCAGTTAGAAAACGCTCTGAAGTCTAGATTGAGCAGACGCGTCTCTCCCTCGGGGGAAAAAATCAACAGCCCTGTCTTTTGTTTGCAGAGTTAGACGACTCCTGGATAGAGCTTGAATTGGTGCTCCTCAGGACATGTATTATCAGCCCTCCCTCGGATCTGTAAAACCTGGAACAAGCAGAGAAACAAAAGAAGACATTTAGGTTGGATGCACGATTGGAAAGCGGAACGGTGCAAATACAAAATAAGACTTTCTTTCCTGAAGCAGCAACACAACAACCATCGCTTTTCTTGACACTGAAATGGCGAACACAGACAGTAGACCCCATTATTCATCCCCACCGCTGTCAGACTGAACAATAAGTCACTTTAAGTCACTAATGCACAAGGACTGGAAAAAACCTGCACTGCTATTGCCACTCTTTCTTGTGTTGCCATTTATTTTACTGTACATAATTATATCCTGCACAGACTGTATTTTTTACCTACAAAGCGCTTTACAATTGTGGGCATTTGTCCTCTCACTCCAGAGATGGGAGCGGGATCGCCCGTACAGGAAGCGCATCCCAGACCTATTGTACATGTTTTTAGTGGTAGGGGAAACCGGAGTACCTGGAGGAAACCTACGCAGACACAGGGAGAACATGCAAACTCCACTCAGAAAGGCCCTGAGTGGAGTACATTTCTCCAGCATGAGCTCAATGAAGTCTATCATAATTTATCGTATCTTATTTGGTGTCACTTAAAACTGTATTAGCAGATTTTGTGTTTTTGTCACGCTGAAAGTATAAACCTAAATCTTCTTCAGTACAGTTTCCTTCTGGCATTAAGATAACATGAGAAAAACAGGAAATCGAGTCTTAATTAGTCATCTCGTCCTTGATGGGCCATTAGTTCCACCCGACGTTCCCTCGCCTTCTGTCCTCTCTCTCATCTGTTTGAAGTTACACTGACTGCTGTAGACGACAGAACACGTCCCGTAAAGTGCACTTGTATGTACCGTCGTCAAAACATATATCACCGTGACGGGGCAGGCACCTCTTAGACACATACACAACGGTTTATGCAAATGTAGAGGCAGAAATGGTGAAATGTAAACATGTCTGCAGAAAAGGCGATGAAAAGGTGAGAATGTGGGTCCATTAGAGCTGAAAGAAGGCCTCAATAAGTGCGTTTGAAGTGGGCTTTGATCATGGTTCTTTTCATTTCACAGACTTTAGGTTTCATTGACCCATCTGTTTTTTCATTTCTTTCTACACACTGAAAAGGTATTGGATTAAGTCAGCCGCAGAACTTTTTTCTTTTGATAAAGCATACAGGTCTCTCCGATAGGTTTGTCGTCATTTTAGTTCAGGTGGAGGTCAGCTACCAATACCACTCTAGTGTAATACATTTTGCAAAAGAGAAAGTTAAAATGTTGGGATCATTGTTCTCATGGAGGACTATTATCACGAGACAAAAATTCCTGATAGCTACTCCTTTAAGTTGTAGCATAAAAATTACAACTATATATTTCTGCATTAGAATATACAGTACTTTACACTTCTATATGCTAGTGTCAGAGATTTTGTACTTAATTCTTGCTTGTTATTATAGATTATAGACTTAGGCTAAAGTTAGTAATTTTATTGTCATGTTATCTTATTTAGTTGTAAGTTTAGTATAGAGCTGTGGTGATGCAAAACTGACATTTCCCAACTGTGGGACGGATAAAGGATCTCTTAAATGTAGTCAATACTGTGTAATGGTGAAATGCCTTGGATTACTTTAACTGTAACTGTAATCTAACTAGTATCCATTTATTTGAGTACAAAGTTCCACATTAGCATCAGCTGTAAGCAAGAAATACATAACATTTTAAATATGGAGGAGATTCTTTCAGGCGTCTGTCTCGTCGGATTCTTTTAGTTAAGGTGAGTTTGTTTGTATAGCACAGTTCATACACAAGGCAACTCAAAGCGCTTGACAAAATCTGACAGAAGGGGTGGCGAGCTATTGATGGCGAGTAACTAGTGGCGAGCTACTGATGGCGAACTACTAGTGGCAAGTTACTGATGGTGAACTACTGATGGCGAGCTACTAGTAGCAAGCAACTGAAGGCGAGCTTCTAGTGGCAAGCTACTGATGGTAACTACTGATGGCGAGCTACTAGAGGCGAGCTACTGGTGGCGAGTAACTAGTGACAAGCTACTGATGGCGAGCTACTGATGGCGAGCTTTTGGTGGCGAGCTACTGATGGCGAGCTTTTGGTGGTGAGCTACTGATGGCGAGCTACTGGTGGCGAGCTTCTAGTGGCAAGCTACTGATGGTAAACTACTGATGGCGAGCTACTAGAGGCGAGCTACTGGTGGCGAGTAACTAGTGACAAGCTACTGATGGCGAGCTTTTGGTGGCGAGCTACTGATGCTACTGATGGCGAGCTTTTGGTGGTGAGCTACTGATGGCGAACTACTGGTGGCAAGCTACTGATGGCGAACTACTGATGGCGAACTACTGATGGCGAGCGACTAGTGGCAAGCTACTGGTGGCGAACTACTGATGTCAAACTACTAGTTGCAAGCTACTGATGGCGAACTACTGATGGCAAACTACTAGTTGCAAGCTACTGATGGCGAACTACTGATGGCGAGCTACTAGTGGCAAGCTACTGATGGCGAACTACTGATGGCGAGCGACTAGTGGCAAGCTACTGATGGCGAACTACTGATGGCGAGCGACTAGTGGCAAGCTACTGGTGGCGAACTACTGACGGCGAACTACTAGTTGCAAGCTACTGATGGCAAACTACTGATGGCGAGCTACTAGAGGAGAGCTACTGGTGGCGAGTAACTAGTGACAAGCTACTGATGGCGAGCTTTTGGTGGCGAGCTACTGATGGCGAGATTTTGGTGGTGAGCTACTGATGACGAACTACTGATAGCGAGCTACTAGTGGCTCCCTTGGTTGATTCTTTTGAGATGTATTTTGAACATTGTCACCACTTCTAGACCTTTATGAACCAAAAAACTACATCTCAGTTGATCATTTCTGACACAGAAGATGTGGAACTTGCTCCGTGACATTTTTTGTCTCTTGTGAAATATAAAAATGTCAGCGCAAGAGAAGATAAACGGAGGAATTAGCTCTGAATAGAATTCTGACTTTTGACAGTTACCATAGTTACCCGCAAAGATTTTTCAGCTGCCCTTCACCACAATGTTAAACCGCAGGCTTTTTTGGATTGTTGTGATGTCACATGAATGCAACCTATCTATCCATTGTCTTTTGTTTGAACCGTCATCTTTCACCTTTCACTCACTGTCACATTTATCCAGGTTTGGGGTCGGCAAAAAGAACTAAACGTAATTCAACTTTCACCACAAACTTTTTGATTCATAATTAGTAACGTTTTTCTCTCAACAGAGTAAAAAAGGTGGTCCCTAAGTCAGACCACAGTATTCTATCTTTGTCTGATAAGAAAACATTTATATATTATATTTACATATATTTGGTATACTTATTACAAAGGGCCCCAGGAAGTCACTATTTGACACTGTGGGCTTGGAAAAAAGAGAAATCTGCAAATCCTGTGAAAGCTTTAGAACCAAACTGTTTTGAGGACGCTAAGCTAAACAGATGAATATTACAGTGTTCCATTTGTTTTTGTGGATTTGAATGTTAGAGACCCCAGCTTTAAAGGGACAGGATGTAAAATGTGCATTTACTGGTCTAATAAAGTCACTACAATTACAATCACACTGTTGTCTTCCTGTGTGTGACACATGTGGCTCCTACGCACTGATTACTGATGTAGACCACCCGCCGGGGTTTACAAAGTCATACATACGACAACTTATTCTTTGGTTCCATTTACTGTAGATATGTGTGGTGCTAGATTTTGTTAATAATAATAATAATAATGATAATAATAATAATATAATAAGAGCCAAAACCAGCAGAATTTCAACCTGGCAACCCAAATGAGAGAATGATTATTATTATTTATTCTGCTCTGTGACAATCTGCTTGAGACCAGATGCTACGGCTGTAAAGTACTAAACTGTCTTTGTGTCCTTAGGCAAGACACTTCACCCACAGTAGAATGAGGTTGGTGGTGGTACTTCTGTCAGTGTGCCCCAGGGCAGCTGTGGCTACAGTCATAGTTTATCATGTATGGAGTGAACATGTGAAGTGTCTTAGTGTCCAAAAAAGCGCTGTATAAAACAAATGCATGATTATTATTTTTTTTCACTTCAACACTTCAAACTGATCTTCAGAAAATGTCAAATATGATGGCTACTTGTTCAACTATCATCTGAGGGCACATATAAAAACAGTAATTTACAATGAAAATGTTACATACTGTCCTTTCAAGTCTAAACACAATTCTAAAAACAGGACATTGGGGACATAAACATTGTCCTAGAGTCTGTTCCAGTCCCTGCTTTCATATGAGCATAATCCATTCTAAGGACAGAACTATCCACCAAGAAATGTCTGCAAGGACCCGACCTGAGGTGTCTTTGGGAAAACGCAATATCTCACAGCATCTCTTCAATTATTGAGCGAGTGGCCAAGTAAATGGAGAGCCATAAATCTGAATGACGCCTGTTATAAAACCTGCAGCTATCCTGTTGTTTTAGCTGGAGC